ATATGTGTCAGACTAACCAAGAAGGAGATCTTCTAAAGGGATCGAGGGGGACAAACAGAGCAATCAGGCATGTTTTTACCACAAGACTTTGCTCACAGCACCGTGACAATGGGCTGATGGGCAATCCCAGAGGTCGACAAACTGTGGTGAGGTGCGAACGGGTAAGCAAATCTCCTGCGAGAGCCACCGTCGAGGAGCAGAAACACAGAAACGCCGCCTGCCTTTCTATTACACAGAATGTGTAACCTCGAGCTACAATCACAGCGCATGATCTTTATGACCCGCAGCAGAACTCCATTTCCTGTTGCAAGCAGAGGGCACGTTTTAATTCTCTGCTACTGCTTATAAGAACGGGAGCAACATCCTGCTAATGGGAACCTGATGGGACGCACAGCTCAGGCAATTATTTACACTTTTAGCTATTTTGACTCAAAACTGGAAAAATATCAAAATCAGACTACGGTTTATTATTAATACATATGCTGCATTAACTGCAAACATCAGCATGACGCTTCATCATTTCAGATTTAGATGAAAACACACCACTGTAGGCACTACTGTCTTAGATTGCCTACTATTCAAAATAGAATTCAGCACACGAGTAAATTATTCCAAACCAAAAACAATAAATTAAAGGCACACAAGTGCCCGTGGAAAAATGTATGTACAGCATCTAATGTCAAAGAACAACAACTATCAAATTGACAGAACCAGTAATACAATGATCACATCTCATGTGTGACAGAGAAACTTCAGCTTTAGTGAGATTGCAATTGTGTCATTCTGTGTGTGTCACTCTTACAATCACAGTGTAAACACATCAGTGATATGCGTTCATGTATTTGAGCTCAAATGTGTTAAGACTTGTGCAAAAGTATCCTCCTTACATTTAAACCCTGCACGTCCGTATTTTCATGTATAAAAAGAACGAGGCACGTCTCACCATTCGAGGCTTTAACTGTAGCACAGAGAAATAGGAGCTATGCAAGCTCCAGCGAGACGGAGATATGCATCAGTGCCTCTGCAGTGTAGTCAACACGAACGCCCCAACAAGCTGAAACACTCTCAGTATCTTGGTGGAAAACACCACCAGCGGCACTGCAGTGTTTTCCTCAGCATTGGTACTGCACCAAAAAGTAGAGAGCTTCTCCTCCATATTCCATTTCCTCCACAGCTCATCTCAAATCCCAACATGTCGTGCCCCTCCTTCACATGCTATTCGACAGAGAAAACACAGGCACTCCACCGAGCTAATGTAGGGAATTGTGACACTTATCCACCCAAAACAAACCCACTGTTAGTCCACTAACTACAGACACTTCCTGATAAACCCAGAGAGCCGGTGGGAATTTCAAAACACTGCTCTTTAAATAGCCCTACAAAAGCACATTTTCTAGATGGGCTGGAGTTGATTTCCTTATAGATGGGCTTGCAACACATTCCATGTCGCTTTAGTGCTGGAAGAGACCAGCAACTGGACAGGAAACAGTGCTTCATGACTAGAATATATGAAGCTGTGGGTGCACACTAAACTGGAAAAGCAGGTAGACTAGGATGTCTTTAGCTCAACTGCCAAAGACCTATTATCACTGTGACAAGAAACAATCGGTTGGCTGTTATTATTGCATTCCCTTGAGAAATGTAATGATAGTTGTTGTCTTGGATTTTAAAAAGTGTGTTAACCCTGAGAAAACCTTACACTATGGATGAGTAGTAAGTAAAAAAGCCCTTTTTGCCTCCAAGACTAGCCTTCCCAAACACATGCACAAGATCTGTTCATCTGTCAGTATGCATTTAGGCAGGTGTGCATATATGATATTAATTTATGCAGCACTAGCTGCTTACTCAAAACATTTAAATTGTATTTTTAAAATAACACACTCTCCGTGCCAATCCCATCACACATATGCCATCATCTAACGTACGCAGGTGAATTAAATGTATTAAAACAACTTAATTAAGAGCATACGTTACCTCAATGTGAAATACACGATATTAATACATTTTGTTGATCAAATCATCAACGTTTTAACACAGCTAACGTCATAACCATAGAAAGGCTACATTCAAGAAGCAGAACAAATTCGTTGTATATTTCCAGTAAAAAAATAAAAAATAAATAAAAAATTACACTTAAGCATGAAGCACACATTAAATACTTAAAATCCTGAGTAAGTGCACGTTGACCTTTGTCGCAACACACATGCACCCACATTAACCAGTGAGACATGTTGTTGTTCACGCGTTAGCTGTGCAGGACCAGTAATAATGAGACTTACCTGTGTCTGAACGTCCACAAATTCAAGTAGATATCTTAATCTTTGATGTTTAGTCTACGCCGCGATGTTTTCGGCCGATGCTTGATGATCCCATTTGTCGCCGTTGGTTCAGTACAGACTGGCCCGGAGACATCCGCATAAAGTAGCGACGACCATCGCAGCTCGACAGCAGAATCGAGGCTAAAACCATGTAGACCAACACACACCAGTCCACAGCAAAAAATACTAAAATATCCACGAAAAGTCGTTTACAGCGTTGCTATTTCGTCGTCACCGCAAACTACGAACTTTTAACACTCCATTCGTGCAACGGTAGGCTAGCTTGGGTGAACGTAAACCATCAAAAGGTCGTATTTTGTCTCGGTTTAATCCTCTCCGACAACACATTCGAGCGGTTTTCGAGCGGCCTTTGACTTCACTGTGTGAACGCTGGGGACGGAAACGGTTCGGTAATGAAACGAGCGTCCTGATTGGCCGTTGGCGCTGTGGGAGGGTACAGTTTCCACACAAGATGAAACACACGCCATTTTGGATCCGCTCCGCACCCTTCTGTCGCTTCAGAACACACACAAGCAGGGCTCCAACGTGGCGGACCGCGGGTCACAGTTTCAAACGCGAGATAGCACACTCCATTATATGGTTGGAGACCAAGAAAAGGAAATGGAGTACAGGCATTGGGTGCACTCGTTTTACACATGTATAGAAACCTGAAGGCGTGTTTATTCCAACTCATTATTTGGGTATTTAGATTGGTCACAGGTCAGCAGTTGATGTGTTTGGAGGACAGAAGCTGACTTAAGTATAAATAAATAAATGCATTAATAAATGTATAAATAAATACAGGACTATATAAATAAATGCTTAAATAAATGTTTGAATACAGAAATAAATGAATACAAGAATAATTAAAAGCTGAAATAAATAAATGAAGGAATACAGAAATGTAGAAATAGATTTATTTATTTATATTTAGGTATCAACTTGTATTTATTAATTTCATTGCATTTAAATATTTCTGTATTTATTTCAGCATTTATATATTCTTTTATTTATTCATTTCTGTATTTATACATTTATTTATGCATTTATCTATTTATTCTTGAATTAATTTATACATTTATTAATGCATTTATTTATTTATACTTAAGACATATTTCGTCCTCCATAGTATGATGTCTACTGCGACACGTACACTGACAATTTGAAAAGCATTTCGTAAAGCTGCTAATTTTAGGCATCCACACATGCCGGTAATGGTTAATACACTTCTCATCAATGCAGAATCCAGATGTTATTCACTACACATTATTATATTTATGGTGTTAATAAAATATAGGTTTTGTTTTCTATGTGTTTGGGTTAGACCCTTCCTTCATACAGTCTATGGTTAGACCTCAAACCCAGGTTATTGGTGAGAGAAAACATAGTTGTCATTAAAGCGGAATGTGCTGGTGAACAAACCTGACGTACCCATGATCGAACTGAAACGCAAGTATATGAAACGAAGGCTCCCATTGGCTCAAAGAAAATATCTATTCTCTTATTGGCTTAGGTTAAACGTCACTCAAACTGACCCGTATACGTCGCTTTACACCACTCCCGTGATACTTTACAACAGTGATAATAAGGCAGACTTACCGAGGTGATTATTTGCAACAAAACGCAGCACTGTTGGTCCTGAACGACACATCGTTCCATGATCTCAAAACATGTGATATGTTTCTACAAGTTGGATCTTAGAGCTGTTAATATGTATTCATTTTATACTGAACTTAACTGGACCAAGGTCTACTGACACCAGAGCGCACTCTGCTGGATTACTGCGGTGTCAACATACTTGGGGGGGGGGGGGGGGGGGG